GATTTGGTAAACTTACCAGCTCAACGCTGTTCTTATGAAAATATCGGATCGCTCCGTCTATGTGTAATGGCTACTGGCACTTAACGTGGGCTGCTCCAGTATTTTTGGCCGACTTTTAGAGACCTCTAGTGACAACTTTCGTACAAGTACTTCGGTTTCCACGTTTCCAAACATTAGCCGATTATCAGTTAAGTTCCCACGTTATAACTCCGTTGGATCGGTTAACTGTCATTCTGTCATCTACTACGACTGTCAATACTTCATGTTCTTATCAACTACTTATCAGTTGATGGACATTTCCGCCTTCCAGTTCGCGTTTCAGTCCTATAGTTGACTTTAATGTTTCGACAGAAAACAAAATGAATAACATCGGTCATGTTTCTCGAAATTTCAAACTGGCTATTTTAGCTTTTGAACAAGTCTACAGATAGTTCAGTCAGGGGGGACAACAGACAGGATTTCTCTTCTTTTTTTTTTACCTTAAGATGAAAGCATAATCCAGCATCCGAAACGATGATATTATTAAAAATTTTGACGATAGACAAAGCCTTAGGAAATAATTTTACAGGTTCCCTGAACCATTAATTAAATAAGACTGATTTTGACCAAAGATGACGTCATGAGCTGTAGAATCTTCGTCCATCTGGATGCATCCCATTTTATCCCACAGCATTACACAGTGTATAAACACACATTTCAATTTGGTCAGCTTACATCAGGATGGCTTATCCGCAGACATGATCTAAGTCTCCTGCTTCCACGGATGGAAATACGGACGGACAGACTGGCGATAAAAACAGGTGGTCTCGGGCTAGTTCTATGACATCGGAGAGCTGAAGACAGAAATGCCAGCTTCAGTTTCAAGACAACACGTGCCATCACCACCTCAGGCAGACAAATGTCAGTGGTGCCACGCACAGGGAACCTCTGATGTAGTCATAATTAAGTTACTTAAATTCCCTTTATGAACTACGTAACATCGTAAGACACAGGTGGACGTACTCGACCTTAAGACAGATTTTGTGCAGTAGAACTGGTGTGTAATTTACTCCAAATGCACAGCAGAAGGAGGGTGATTATGACAGTTGAGGAAGGACGTGGTTGTGTGCTATTTTATATCAGAATTGTAAAATTATTTTGTAGGACTAAGGATAACAAAGAAAAACCTCTGTCAGTTGAGATTTCAGGTTATGACAGTCGCGAAAATGAACACAATGTTGGAATATTGCATTTTGTAGTCTGGTAGAGATTTACGGACGTTTCGGAGGTACTTGCTGCCTCCATCATCAGGGCGACGATATCCTGAGACTACACGTCACAAGTTCCCGGATAGGATAGCCGATCTCTAGGCCGTGATAAAACTAACTTCCCCGATCAAGACGACTTTACACACGTTTATGACCTGACTTCACATCGAACTTCATCTATTCGTGACGCCTACAATCATATTTTACCCGGGAGGGATTCGTTCGGTAACAGTACAACAACGTTCGTTTGTTTTAAATTCGGCCGCACGGCCATGGTTCATCTCGTTTTGTCTGCAACGGTGAACGAGTCATTGATGCGCCCGAGGCAACTTACTCCCAGCCGACCGCTCACATTCCATTGGTAGAACCAAGAAACGGAACTGAGACAGCAAATTTTAAGCCACTTATACAGGGTGAGCACAAAAGAACTTTAAACTTTCAACATGGAACACAAAACGAATGCGGCGTAATTAGAACTTCACACCCACACCAATGGATAAAAAAACTCTCAAAGTTTTGTTTAACACGATCCAGGTGATTGTTGCTGGGCCCCCCGCCAGATGCCACTAGTTTTGAAAATGGCTGCTCTACAACAGAGGAGTTGGATGTTTTACATTTAGCGATTGTTTGACACAGCCTTGATTTAGCAACAGGTTTTCAGGAAAAATATACGCTGTATAAATTCTTAGACACCACCAACTGATTCAGAAATTTTAAAATGGGGACAAATGTGCGTCTTAAAATCGGGAAATGCGGTATTTCAAATGCGCCCCATTACATAGAGTATTGTAAATGAAATTAAATTATATACAGATGGAAATTCATCTTTTGGGATTCTAACCTACGTAGTGTACATGCGTATAGACTAATATTAGGAGTCATATTGTACCCACCCCATTTTCGGATGACGCGTGTTCTAACACCACGAGAACTCTAAATCAATGTTTGTGAACAATTATTAATAATATTATGTTGATTTCTTTCCTCACATTTATGAAGAGAGTGGTTTTAAGCAGGTATAAATAATTTATATTCATTTATTCAGAAAAATTCCTCTCGTGATCCCTCTGCCCTCGGTAATTTAAAAATCTTTACCGGCTCCCAACAAAAATAATTACCTACGCATCAAGCAGACAGCAATTTCATGCCAGAAAATTCAGGATACGTTCGGCTACAACACTTTTCTAATACAAATCAACTCCGAAAACTTCCTGTGCTTTGATAATTTATATATATTTATTTAGTGTTCTGTCTGACGACAGGTCCATATGAACAGGATCCTTCCATCCTTTTCTCGGACTGGGACCTGTTCATATACGTTCTTGGCAGATGATCCAGAAGTGGTTTGCAATTGCCTTCTTCTGTGTGTTAATGGAGTAATTGTTGGGATGCCACGGAGGAAAACTCCGTGTTGCCTAGACCACGGCCTTGCCCAACACAAGTTATAAATTTGGGCACCGCCGGGAATCGAACCCGAGACCCCAGGATTACAAGGCCAGCGTTCTAATCGCTAGACCACAAATGAATATTTCAAAGTATACAAAGAACCAGACCCTTATAAATCTCTAACTGAGGTTTCCGACAGGAAGTTGTAAAACATTCAATTCCATTTATCTTACTATCTCTTTAGGGTCCAGCAAAACTTAAAATATTAACCGATTAACATTATTCAATCTTTGTACATAACATTCCCTCTGGTATACATTTATACCAGCTGGCCTCTGCTCACATCAGACGCAACAAGTTGTCTGCTGCTAATAAGGATCATAATTGAACGTTTCTCGAAAACTTCGTTATTCTTGTAAGACTTGAGGTTCTCACAGCGGTGAATATGAAGATTTCTGTCTTCTGGGTTGTAGCGCTGTGTAGTCTGGTCGATGTTTACCGACGTTTCAGAGGTCATACTGCCTCCGTCATCAGAGTATGAAGATTTCTGTCTTCTGGGTTGTAGCGCTGTGTAGTCTGGTCGATGTTTACCGACGTTTCAGAGGTCATACTGCCTCCGTCATCAGAGTATGAAGATTTCTGTCTTCTGGGTTGTAGCGCTGTGTAGTCTGGTCGATGTTTACCGACGTTTCAGAGGTCATACTGCCTCCGTCATCAGAGTATGAATATTCATCGCCCTGATGACGGAGGCAGTATGACCTCTGAAACGTCGGTTAACATCGACCAGACTACACAGCGCAATAACCCAGAAGACAGAAATCTTCGTCATTCCTCATGACCTTATTAGCCTCTGGCTTGTGTTTAAAAGTCGACTAATCGAATCTTGGGGTCAATTATCTCGACAGTTGCTCGTTTTATTTCAGAACTTATCTCAAGACACACTGCGGTCGCTCGTTGGCCACATCATGAATAAATCATTTTGTCTTTTTTTACGATCCTATGGAACAAAGTTCAGGCATGCACCATTATAATCGTAGTTATAAATCAGAGGTACTTTTCCTCATTAAAACACTTGGATAGCAATGCTTGCAAGGCAACCGGCCTTAATGTGCGTAATAATTAGTATCCAAATCATATTATTTAAAATTTTCTAACATAATTCGACCTTCCATACAGTAAAAATACATTCCGATCATCAACTAACGTAACTGACTCCAAAAGTAAAATAGCCTCAGTAATCAAGAAACGTTATATCACGTTCATTCGGTGCAAAATATCTACAAGACTGAGCTAGGTCACAGTAAGAGGAGAAAGGAATATTTAAGTGCAAGGGGGGGGGGAAATAGGCTTCTTATACTGTAAAGCTTCCCCTCCTTCCTTCTTCCTCTGTAACACGGATGACTGGCAAAACGTGGGTAGCTCGGAGATATTTTGCTACACTTATATTCTTGACTCCGGCAGGAGGAGGTGAATTATGGGTAAAATTGCCGCTCTGGCAGCTTTATTCCTGGGTATGGGTAACCAATTGGTAAGAGGATGGGTGGGTGGCATACTCTACAGCTGTCGAAACAGGAATCCGGGAGTGACCTCACATAATTGTACAAAAATAAGGCGTATTTTGCCTGTTTAAAATATCACCCTGTATTACAGACTCGCGAAGTGTGGCAGATGAAACGTTTCACTTCGCCTTAAATTAGAGATATCAAGACCATATTACACTTCTCGTTAAGGCTGTTTAACATTTCGATTCTTAGTCATGAATATTTACACTGTAAAATTAACCGAGTCATAAATTGGAAGAAGCCCTCGAAACTGGGACTGTAATTAAAACGTTTCAAACGGACAATAAAGAATTGCAAATTTCAAAAACGATTTCGGAAACTAAGCAACAGTTCGGACGCATTCAAAGGAGCGTCCAGATGGCAGCATCTGTAAAAATAGTTTCCGAATTTGACTGCTGATGGCGTGGTGTTTCAGACAGGTAAATCAATATCCCTTCTGCGTAACGATTGGCCGACATCAGGGCACACAAACTCACGAACTCT